ATGTTTAATGCAAGAATTTTATACAGATTTAGTAGTTAAAATACGATTCAATCAAAATTCTCATTTAAACTTTAGGTAAATATAAATTTTGATTTCTAAATATAGTACAATATAAATTTATACACAAAAGCAATGAAGTTGATACAGTATAAAATAATTGCACAGACCTAGATACAAATCTAAAATAATTTTGAAACTTATAATTATCTATCATAATATAAAAATCCTACTACTACTTTATTTTTGTATCTAACTTCATAGAATTATTTTTCAAAGAGCAATTTTGAGAATTATGATACTATGATCTACACAGAGCATATTGACACTTGTTTTTTTTCATTGATCCTGACATTGTTTCATTTTGATTATTTGAACAAGCATTCTTGGTGTTATAATTCTCAATAGCTGACAAATATCTTTTGCTTGAAGGACAACCTTTACCTTTATATTGAATTGGATTTGAAATCATAAATTCTTGTTCAGATAGTTCATGCATATTTTTTTGAATCAAAATTTGATTATCAATATATTACTATAAAAGACCTTCCAAAACCCCATTTGAGCTGCTCATCATTGCTATATTTAAAGTTTTCTTACAAAGTCCAAGACTATGACTATAAGTAGCTTTTTTTGAATTCGACTTTATAGCATCTCGATTATTAATTTCTTGTCCTCAAATTTTTTCTAATACTTGGAATGTTTCTGTTTGAAGTGGTCTATCATTATCTTTTATTACTTGAATAGATAATTCTTAACTTGTATCAAATATTAAAAGACCTTTCTCAGAGTACCAACAAGATGGTATTAACTTTATATGAAAGAATGTCTTTTTTGATTAAATCATTACTGCAAAAAAATGGCGACAAACAAATCCAGAATATATTAAATAAAGACATGTGCAATAATATGTTCTATCATCAAGCAATACTACAAATTGCGAATGATTTGTAGTGCTTTGAATATGCTTAACCTTCCAGATTTCATTTACTCGGCTTTTAGTACAATCCTCTAAAGCTATATTCAATAATATTTGTGGCTTCTCATAGTTATTTTCTATAAATCCTATATTATAATTCGGTTTCTATCAAATAGTAAATACAATTTTAGTCAAAACAAAAAAGAATATTATAACTTCCCAATGATCATTTTACTTAAATAGCATTGCGAAAAAAAATGACAATCAAAAAATTGATATGTAACTCGCAAAATAAAATTATAAATTAAAAAAAAATACATGCCTTATTTATATCATCAAGTTTATAAGAATATAATGAAGTTCTATATAAGAGACTTTCTAATATTTGCTTTCGTTGCAATGCCAATAAATTTTGTGTGAGATACTTTTTACACATGTCATCAATACTTTTAAAGATCATATTGGAAACATTAGGAAGACTGGCTGTTAGATTCATATTCCAAAATTCTTGCAGTCTTGTATATTTTGCTTCATCTTTTAATTGCAATTCAATATTGCTTTGTGGTTGATATAAGGAATTTCCAGAGTTAGCTTCTAATTTAATAACATGATTTATACTTTCAACATGTTGTGTTGAATGTGTATTGGCCAAAAATTTTTGCTTTGTGAATGCATGAGCCCAACATTCCTTAGTTGAATATAATACATAATCACAATACCCTTGAATCTCTGGATATTTGTTCATTAGCTCCATCTAACAACGATCAAAGTCAGATATTACAAGAAAATTTCGTAGTAAATAAAAATTAGAAATAAACTTATCCTATTTGTCGTGAAGCTTTTTTAAATATGTTATAATAAAAAAAGAAAGATATTCAGATAGATTACAGACTAACAAATATATTTAAACACATATTAAAAAAAAAAAATATTTTTT